AACAAAGATCATGTGTAACGTTCATATCACACCTATGCCGATAGTTGTAAGGAGCTCTAAGCTCGAAGTTGTTGACGAGTATGTTTACCTGGAATAAATAGTGCGACTAGGGTAGTCCAACTGCGATCGAGAGGTCAATCAGCGGATTCAACTTGGATGGGCAGCTATCGGAGATTATTGACACATCTTCACGTCAGATATACCTCAAAACTAGATTGTACAGCCAGTGCGAGTTGCCAGTGATCCTATCCTGAATATGAGACATGGTCCTTCACTGCTGGCCCTATGAGGAAGCTCAAGGTCGCTCAGCGAGCTAGGTAGAGGGCTATTCTTGGGGTTTTTCCGCATTATAAACGTATAAATGATGAAATCCGCAGTAGAACCAGAGTAACCGACATAGCTCAGCGGGTTAATAAGCTGAAATGGTGATGGGCTGGCCATATAGCTTGCAGAACCGACAACCGTTGGCGAAGAAAGGATCTAGACTGGCAACCTCATGCCGGTTTGCTAATTGTATGGTGATCTAGAGGGGCCAGATGGAGTAACGACCTGGTAAGACATGCAGGAAGTCGACGGATTCATGTTGCTTAGGACCATGCTTTGTAGCATTCCTTGGGGTACGCATAATTCAGCAGTGGAATTGTGAAGGGCTGTAATGATGATGATGATGAATTGTTTTCAGACATTATATGAAAAATTATCCAGCATAAATAAAATAAAATTTATTTAAATAGAAAAATTTACATAACAATACATGCGCCGTGAGCATCTTTACGGCGCCTCTACACGTTGGCCAACACGGTGGCGAATGTAGTGGCCAATAACATTGGCCAATAGCATTGGCCAACGTGTAGACGGGGTGTTTGGGCTTTATTGGTATGTATTGGAACGATGGCCCGCAAGTTGGCGCGAGATCCGTGTGGTGTCGGTTTTTTACAAAAGATCAAAGGATTGTTGGCAGAGTTTGGTCGCCGCGTCCACACGTTGGCCACGAGTTTAGTTTGCTACAAGCTCCCAGAGTGATTACACGCATCTGATTAAAATTTTATATTCACGATTTGTAGGGTGGATGACCCAATTACCAGCCTTTTAGTGCCAATTTCAACTTTAAACATTCCTACTACTTTAATTAGCGCGTTTTAATTATTTTTAAACATTTGTTTTAATCGATAAGCTATTTATAAAAAAAATGAACATTTATTTACAATCACATTATTACGAGAACAATTTTAAAATGAAAAAAAAAATGAAGCACCTCGTTTATACGTGGTAGAACCATGAGTTATATTAGAAGTATAGTTGTAGCATGAATGGGTCGGTTCGACCGGGGAAGGACCACGCTCTCACAGAATATCAATGTAAAATAGTAGCTTAATGATGCTGTGTTTCGTACAGTGAGTGTAGAGAACCAGAGACACTTTTTAAAGGAAACGAGGCATTTCATCTTAGTCCTCACGGGTGACAACGCATCTGAATTTTGATTCGTAATCGAGGATAGATGTAGATGTCTGTGGGCCACAGCAACCACTTACCGTCAGGTGAACTGTGTGCTCGTTTGTCACCCTATCCTATATAAAAAAGCGTCGGTTTCTTATAATTTAATCGTGCAAGTTTTCGAATTATCATCATCATTACAGCTCTTCACAAGTCCACTACTGAAAATCCTCTGCCGCAAAGCATGGCCCTGAGCTACTTTGCTCGTCATGAGTTTTTCATTTATGTTCTAAGTTATAATTAGTACCTATTATTAAGTCAGTGTTAATTATACTTATTACTGTTGTTTTTGTCTTTCTCAAAAAATAATTAAAACACCAAATAAATTATAAGGTGTTTTTATATACATCAAATGTCTGATAGAAAAGCAAGTACATGTTTTGCTAAACTTTAAAATCAAAACCCAATTTTAAAACATAGACTAATCGGCTATAATTCCATTAACTTTAAAATAAGTTAAGTTCTTATTAATGGTATTTATTCCAGTTTATGATGCATGTAAAGAAGAAATGAAGCTAATCGTATATCGTATATCTATTTACAGCCCCATTAATATCCACTATTCTTTTATAATTATTTTATAAAAACGTTATCCCCACACTTGGATTTTCTCCTGTATCGCGGAGGCAGCTTACAAACATAAATTGCACAAGGACACACATCCAGACCCGAAACAATTATTTGTAGGATATATCTACAAATTCTTGTTCCGTGCGGGATTCAAACCCGCGGCCCCCGGCACAGCCACTCATTGCTAGGCCACTGCGCCACGGAGCCGTCGTTTAAAATAAAATAAATTCGTCCGCACATTGGCCCGAACCGAAGTAAACTGAACGACCTTCCAACGTGTGGACGCCGTCACCAACTCTCAGCCAATATATTCGCCACTACATTCGCCACTGTGTTGGCCAACGTGTAGAGCCGACATAAGGCAAAGACTAAAAAAACGCAAACGGTGCATAATTGAAGTGACATGGTATACCGTCGCCGGCAACGGTGCTCCCAGATTTAAATATTTGATGAATTTAAACAAATTGTGGTAAAACGATGTATTTTAAATAACAATACATTTTTATATTCATTAACTGCGTTGTTGGTCTAGTGGTTGTAGTAGTGCGACTGCTGATCATGAGGTCCTGGGTTCGAATCCCGGGTCGGGCCAATAAAATCAATTATTGAGTTTTTCCGTCAAGAAATTCTCCGGAGCCAGGAAGTTGGAGGTGTCTCACTCCCGTGCCTCGGAAAGCATGTAAAGCCGTCGTTCCTGCGCCTGATCTCTCTCCGGTTGTGTCGGTTTACCGTCCCATCGGATTATGAGAGTGAGGGAATAGAGAGTTCACCTGTGCTTGCGCATACACTTGGGCACTATAATCCTGTCCTGCGCCGATGGCTAGCTTCCCTTGAGGCAGGCCACCGTAGCCGAAATTCGGAGGACATTAGTATTATTATTATGGAGAGTATCTATATAGCTTTCTCACCTGGTTGGGTTCTATAAATATATAATTATAAATGAAAATGAAAAGATAAATACAATAAAGATAATACATAAATATCAATAAAATAAAATAAATACAAAAATACATAAATAAATAAAAGCCGAACCAGATGGAAGCCCTCCGCAGGGGAGACCAAACGGCCGAGGGTTAGGGGAAAAGGAAAAGAAACCGGCTGACGATGCGGGCGGTATCGAGGAGCATCGCCTTCTGCATTTGAGCCCGGAGCGGTCCGTCACGGAGTCCCAGTCGCCTCAGATGACCCGAGAGGCTAACTGGGGTTAGCCCATAGACGACTACGGGAATAATTTCGGTCGGCAGACCACCCCACATGTTGGTCACCTCGTGAGCCAGGTCCAGATATTTTGTTTTCTTATCTGATTCGGCTTTCACTAGGTTCTTGTCATATAGAACGGTAAAGTCGACCAAAAATATCATTGACTGAGCCCGGTTCATCAGTACAATATCAGGTCTTTTCGCAAGAATAGTCCTGTCTGTGATGATGGCCCGATCTCAGTAGAGCCTGGCGCGGTCACTTTAGAGCATGGCTTCCGGTAAGTTCTTATAATAAGGTAGTTTCCGATCCACGAGACCGTATTTCAGAGCGAGCTCCTGGTGTAAAATCCTGGCTACTAGGTTGTGCCTGTGCAAGTATTCAGAGTTAGGAAGCGCCGAACAACCGGAGATTACATGCCTAAGTGACTCACCGGGATGGCGACAAGCTCGATAGACGTCGACGGTGTCATCCTTTAGGATGTATCTCCGATAGTTGTTGGTTTTAATATCCTGATCCTGTATTGCACAGACAAAACCCTCGGTTTCCCCGAAGAGGTCATCAAAACGTAACCAGTAGCGGGGGTAACTGAATCTACGAAGGGCTCATGTAGAGCCCTGTAGTACCTCCCATGGAGCTCCCTCTCCTTCCATATGGTCTCCCGGTCGGAAATGCTTTGTACTGCCGAATCCTGCCATTGCTCGTTGTCTAAGGATAGAAGGGTAAGCCCTTTATCACTATAAATGACGTCATTATAGAATGGATCGTCCGATCTCGTCCGGAAGTAATGACGGAAGCTGCACACTTCGCGATTATGCATGGTGAGCGCGCTCAGAAAGCCACGCCCACCTTGCTTTCGCGGCAAGTACAGTCTCATTATATGCGTGTGTCTTATTCACACCGGACAAAAGGCTGTTAAGCAATTTGGTCAAGCGTGCATAAAACACGTCGCAAAATGACTGTTTCATACCAGCCTCATCGATACCGATGTTCTATGACATACCCAGGTAACGGTATGCTTCAGCCTCGGAAAGAGTCCTTAAGTTGATGGGTATAGAAAAGTCTATGCCCTCAGAGCTAGCAACCCTTCCCCTTTCAACATGGAGGAGCGCACACTTATCCGACCTCAACTCCATACTGATGGAACTGCTGAATTCACAAGTGTTTAGCAATTCCATAATATGGGAGCGACTGGAGGCGAACAACTTGAGGTCATCCATATATAAAAGGTTGTTCACTTTTGTCCCTCCCTTCCGAAGATGAAAACCCCTCCCGGAGGCCGGAGGTTCAAAGAGAGGCAGAACCAGGTTGGACTCAGACAGTCGCTCTGGAATATACCCCTTCTTATCTTATGCGGCTTTCCGCAGCCGTCATTCGCTCGCTTAGATGACATAGGATCGTGCTCCACTTCTCCATACACTGCTCGAGAAAGTCTCGAACTGTATTTGTGACGAGTGATTTTCGCGCTCAAAATGGATGTTAGTGTCTTTTATATGGTCGATAGACACGTAATGGAGCGGTATTTGCTCGGGTCTGTGGTACCCTGGTCCTTAGGTACCAAATGATTATGATGAATCTCAGTAGTGAAGAGGCTCGGGAGCGACTTCCGGTTGAGAGCCTCTTGAAACTATCGGGCGAGCACAGCGTGACACACCACAAACCCCTTCAACCAGTAGCGATGCAGCCCGTCAAGCCCCGGATTTTTCAAGTTCGGGGCCCTACGGACCGCCTCAGCTACGTCATCCGGCGCTATGATGACGGGGTCCATGGGCGTAATACCGGCACACTGATGCGCCACAACTTCCGTCCAAGGGCCCTCGCTGTGGTTTACATTCTGGCTCTGACCACAGGCTGCGCCAGAATGCGATAGTGTCGGTCTGATTCTGTGCTGTGCCCGTTCCACTTACCACTGGTTGTTCCAATGATTTATACAGCCTCTTCTGATCACTCTGGAAGAGACAATTCTGGTGGAACCGTGTCGACCTCTCGGTATACCTCCGAATCCGCTTTCCCCAAGCAGCGATTCTCTGCTTCAGGTCGTCTATGAGCTCCGTCAGTTTTTGCATTATATCCGGCCGGGACAAACTAACATTTGTCCCAGCAAACGCCATCCTGACGGTGCGCACAATCCTTGGCCTGCTATTGCCTGACCTGAAGCATATCAGTCTGCCTATGAGGGCCCTAGCCTTTGTGATACGTTCTTCAATTCTTATTCTGCAGGCTTGGATAGCACTACTTTGTCCAGTAGCGCGTCCAGCCGTGGAAAGTTTGGCGCCTATAATACGGCAGACCGCCAGTGCGGCGCCAAAAATAATTAAGTCCGTCTCGCAAAGGTCCCGGCTTGCTTCCAAATAGGTCACCAGTATTGGGTTCAGATCCCTCAAGATAGCCCGATTCCGCTTGCTTTGGGCTATGCGGGGAAGTCGCGGTTGATTTTCGAGAGGCGTACTGCGCCTTTTCACAATCGCTTCTTCCAATGTACTCCTCATTTGCTCTAGTTCCAGTTTCTGGGCGACTGTTCCATCATCGTTTGAATCATCCACAACTGCTGGCATCCACGTTTGCCGATTGCTCTGCAAGTTGTGGCGCCGCATCCTTAGCCGTAGCATTTTCATCCGATGAAGGAACAACCTCACGTCGTAGCCGTTCGAGTTCGGTGACATCAAATGTATTTGAGCGCAAGATATACCGAACTCGGTCTGCCAGGTTTTGCTCGGTGACGGTTACAGATGGCTCCAGCTCAACAAAAAGTCGATGCATCCTTGCCCGATACGCAAAAACTCCAATTTCTCCCCCTTTTGCGCCAAAATACGCTCGCAATGCGTTGCTGTTCATCTGGGTTGTCTAACGCATGTGGCGTGCTCCACCAGTGGCGGGTGCCGATTGCTGGGCCCACGAAGACCCCGCTGACATCAAGCCAGCTGGTGGCGATGATGGATGCGAGGGGCTGCTGGGTGGTCGTGCTTATATATACTTATTGTATACATACACCTACTAATCATAATTCTTCTGTGACCTACAAATTTTATCCGTTAGACACATTGTGTATTTATTATTGTGTTTTTTTTTTGCCTAGTAAGGGTAACAAACGAGTCCAAAATCTAGGTAATGGTAATTCAATGTTGTGGCCCATAGAAGATTTATCCTCATTTATGATTGCAGATGCGTTGTCACTCCTGAGGATCGAAATAGAATGCCTCGTTTCCAGTAAAAAGTTTCTCCGGTTTTCTACACTCACGATACGAAACACAGCAGCATTTAGCTGCTATTTAACGCTGGTATTCTGTGAGACCGTGGTCCTGCCCGTCGGACGACTGATTCGTGCTACAACCATAACCAATAACTTAACATAAGAAACGCCTAATTCAATGGATTTTCGCAAAGTAACGCCTGATAAATTGTAATGATATGAAAATCTGCGATGCACAATGAGGGCTAAAGGAGGACTGATGATACAACTTACAATGTTCTCATTCAAGCGATATCTCAATTTAAAATCTTCATCCGTAAATATGCAGAAAGGATTTAACCTACGACTTAAGTTTCTGGATACTGATATTTTGGAGTTATAAACTCATAGTTAAATAAGAAATAATAATAATACAAAGGACCTCCTCGTATTCATTATATTTACATATATTTATATACGTTATATTTATTGTCGTTTGAATATTTTAATATTGAGTGTTTAGTGGCTATTTATTTTAATTATAACATGTTATAATCTAAAAATTGATGCAGTTTGATTGTAATAAAACGTCCAATTACGTTATGGAAGCGATAAAAGGCACATATTGGTCAGTTAAGTTAACCTAAGTTTAAAAGGTTTTATCTTTCTTTGCCATATTCAGAAACGAACCTTGTTAAGTTATCGAACCAATAGCGCTAAGGAAAAGATAAACCGCCGACAAATGTCTCTCAGAAACCAAGCATAAGACGGGTTTTTACGTGGTAGAGCCATGCTGCAGCTACCTATATTATGGTTGTAGCACGAATGGATCCGATCGATCGAGGAACTACTGCGTTCTCACAAAATACCATAGTAAAATAGCAGCTTAATGCTGCTGTGTTTTGTATGGTGAGTGGGTAAAAAATCAGAGACCCTTGTTACTAGAAATTAGGTTTCTCATCTTAGACCTCCGGGGTGAAAACGCAATTGCGTTTTGTTTCCTAATCGAGGATAAATGAATGAATATACTTTATTGTACACCACAAACAAATTTATAAAGAACATAACAGAGAGCAGATTACATGTACAATTTGGCGGCCTTATCGCTACATAGCGATCTCTTCCAGGCAACCAAAGGTGTAAAAGAATAAAACAGTGAATACTAGGTAGGTGGTGCAATATAAATATACCTAATATAACATGCAATAAAATAACTAATACATTTCAAAATATGATACACATATACATACATATATACATAAACACATATATATATATATATATATATATATATATATATATTCCTCAAATAATAACATAAACAAATAAATACAAAAACTACGTAATCACATAATATATCGTGATGATTTTCGAACGATTGAGACAAGTAATGCTCTTTAAGAAGTCGCTTACAGACTACAATAGTTTGTGCTTCGCATATATACAAAGGTAGGGCATTCCAGAGCTTAATAGACTGGACAGTATAAGATTTATTAAAGAAAGATTTATTGTGAGTTGGTACCCTTAAAATGAGTTTTCTTGAAGAGCGTAGAGGTTCCCCTAGAAGCCCAACAAAACTAAACTTCTTCTTTAGATAAGGAGGAGTAAAAGGGTGAAATAAGACACAGTACAGAATAGAAAGAATATGCATGTTCCGGCGAAATTGGATAGGTAACCACTTGAGACGTGAGCGAAATTGGGAAATATGGTCGAATTTGTATTAGTCTAGTATTTTGAAGTCTCTCGAGCTTAGTTAGCTGGTCTTTAGATATATCTACATAGCTTGCGTCAGCATAATCGAGAATCAGAAGGAGAAGAAACTGTACGAGCATAATTTTTGTAGGAATGGGAATAAATGATCGAAGACGACGCAGTGAACTAAGAGCGACAAAGGTTTTCGTACTTACCTCACTCAGTTGACGTTTCCAATTTAAGGAACTATCAAGGTAAACACCAAGATTTTTGACATTGTCAAAGTAAGAGATTACAACCCCATCGAATACAACAGGTGGTATGGAGAACCAGTCAGTTCTTGAGATAAAGCTCTGACTACCAAAAATGAGCCTGTGTCTTTTTAGGATTGACATTTAGGCCATATGATTGACTCCACTCATGAATCATATTTAAGTGATTGTTTAATGTAGCGATTGCATTCGACAAAATCTCAAGAGTTGACTGGGTGTAAATCTGGACATCGTCCGCATACATGTGGTAGAGAGAACAAATTTTATGAGTAATTGAATTAATGAAAATGGAAAAGAGTAAAGGTGACAAGACGCCACCCTGCGGCACGCCTGCAGTAATATCACACCAAGATGAGTGAGTATCATCAACATGAATACACTGCCAACGGCCACAGAGATAACTTTGAAACCAGTCAAATACTGATGGAGATATGTTAAGGGAATACAATTGACTCAACAGTATATCGAAGTCAACAGTATTGAACGCATTACTGAAATCTAGCAATGTCATGACTGTGAGTTGTTTATTATCCACACCCCACCGTATGTCATCAGTAACTATGTCGGCAGTAGCCGTACTATGACCAGGATGGAAACCGAATTGTAAATAATTCAACAAATTGTGCTTATTAAGGAAAAAGGGTCAGCTGTTGGCAAATAGGTTTTTCAAGGACTTTAGAAAGGAAAGGTAAAATCGAAATGGGACGAAAATCACTGAGGTTGACAGGATTAGATTTCTAAGGAAGGGGTATAACATAAGCACTCTTCCAGGCTTGAGGGAATTTAGAGGAAGATACACATGCATTAACCAAATGAGTGATAATGCGAGTGATAACATCAAGGAGAGGAATAATCATATTACGGCTAATGCTGTCACTACCGACAGCATTTAAGGAGATGGATAATATGATCTTCTTAACATCACGTACAGTAAATTGAGTAAAAACGAACGGAAAATAATTAGGAGTCGGACTTACAAAAGAGAACGAAGTGTTTGCAGTTTATGTTCACTATCAAAAGAGTAAGAAGGATTAGAAAAATGTTGTTTTAATAGTTCAACATCAACACTGGAAGGTGAAGCATTAAGAGAGGTTCTACCAACTCAAACTGTTTTAAGAAACTTCCACACCCTAGATGAGTCGCCGTTCTCGACTGATTAATGAATATGGCGTCGTTGTGCATCTCTACATAATGTGTTCCGGATTTTGGCGTATTTTCTAAGGTTTTCCTCTGTTTTGTTCCTCTTAGCTTTGACAAAATTAGCCTTTTCAGATCATCAGAGGGCCATGGAGCAGGTAAGTGCTTGAGTTTAACATGATGCATTGGCGCGTGTATCTCATATAGCTGAGTGAGAAGGGACCCACCCACTAATGGGTCAATTGTCAGGTGGGCTATGAGCTCGTGTGTCACCCTTCTTCTATAAAAAAAGAAAGTTTACTTTATATTTGCAGTCACATAGATATTTCACGACAGCCAACATTCAACACTTTAACCTGCTATCGTCGTTATCACTTGATAGGCTCATAATTGGCTAGAGTTTCGTAATTTTCACAAAGTTAACAGATATATTTTATTTTATTCAACTATTGTTAAACCTTCGAATACGGACGATCAAATACCAATGTGTTCCTTAATGGGGAGGAGTTAAGTCTTGTGGATACCACTGTTTTGCTTTGCATTACTATTGACGCGAAATTCCATATATCTAAATTAGCAAGCAGACTTCTGTTATGCAGCATATGGTGTAAGAAAGATTAGACGTCTCATTAATTATATGAGATAGCCAAATTAATTTAATTTAGTTACTTTCATTGCATAATCTCTTTTACAATTTTGGTATGGGGTTTACGCGACTGACATTGAAACAATATTTGTTTTGCAAAAGAGGGTTGTACGGCCGATTTATAACCTAAATTGTAAAAATTCTCTCAGAGATAAATTAAAAGAAATAAACAATTATTTGGCATCATTTGGTATCGCAATATATTTATGAAAATATAATATTTGTACATAAAACATGAATAACTTTGATAAGAATACAGACGTTCATACTATAACACTGGGAACAAACGTAAGCTTGTGATGCTTGTTACTAGACTCCACAGTATTAGTAATTATTCCTTTAAATTATACCTTTATAATGAAATCTCAGAAAAACTTCAAAGTTTGCCAATGTAAAATGTGAAAAGTTTTATTAAACAAAACTTGTATAAATATCAAGGAATACATGAATTAAAATAACCCGTGGGAGTGAAATGATCGCTACCATGAAGGTTCAATTAAAATTCATATAAAAATTGTACAATATTACTGTAAATTTCTATTATAGAAAAGTTAAAAATAATAATTCCGTTAGAATTTTTGCCGTTTACTCCCAGGACGTAGGAGTAGTTAATAAATAATTACCTTCAAAAATATTATG